CTCTCCACCATGAATACAAAGTGCTCCACTGCTCAAACACTTGTCCCCAGCAGACTAGGACTTACCAGACAACAATGCCATTCTTTTTACAGACTGGAATATAAAACGTATACAGATGACTTCTATCTAATATGGCTTCTTTTTCTGTCTCTCCTCTCTTGTGGAACTCCCCATGTAATGAACAAGAAAGAAAAAAGGGACTCCAGTAGTATAAAACCGTTTAACTAAAAAGTGCTTTATTTATATTAAAAACACACTCACAAGAAACTGAAACAATCCAGCATTAATCAAGTAACTCAGCCTGCATGATGTATTGTGCCAAAAGGAAAATTAAACAGTGGTCTTGGTCTCACCCGATATCCACTGTGTCACTTCCAATATGTCACTTCAGGCACCAACGCTGACGTTACATCTGGTTGCCGCTCAACCAGTGCAACCAACGTTTCATCTCTTCCGACTTTGTCAAGGGGATCCTACACTACACTATTGGGGTCCCTTTTTTTTTCTTGTTCATCATATGAGGATTTCCACAAGACAAGAGAGACAGGACTGGAAGCCACATTAGATGGAAGGCATCGGTATATGCTTTATATGCCAATCTGTAAAAAGAGAAGCATTGTTGTCTGGTACGTCCTGGTCTGCTGGGAAGAGGTGTTTGAGCACTGGAGCACTTTCTATTCACAATGGAGATATTGAACTATTTTGAGAAGTTTAACCTTTTACAGGATGGACTAATCTTTATTTAAGCACTGGAGCACTTTTTATTCACGGTGGAAAGACTGAACTTTTGAGTTTACTTAGACCTGTGTCAGGATGGAGTAATCTTTAGTTGTCATACACCTGGTCACTCTGTTTTTTTACAGTGGTGCTTATTTAATATAATGCACATTTTATGTTTGCAGTGCCTTTTTTTATTGCTATATTGTGTTACATCTTCTTCCATTGCTCTGTGGTCCAGGCCTGATGCTCATGTGCCCATTGTTGGCTCCTTTGGCTGTGGACGTGGATCAGCATGGGCACCCTGACTGGTTTGTGACTATGCAGTCCCATACACAACAAACTGCAATGCCCATTTTTTCTGCTTTCAACACATCAGCTTCAGGGAGAACATGTATACTTGCTGCCTAATATATCCATCTAACTTTCAGATGCCATGGTAATGTGATATTCAGTGTTATTCACTTAACATGTCAGTGGTCATAAAGTTATGGCTGTTCGGTGTATAGACCCAATAAATAAATTTGCTCGCTCTGAGGGACTGCAACATTTTAAAGTCAAGTGATCAAATGAGATGAGATACGAATTATGGCCTGCACTTTCCAATGGATGGCAAGAAAGCAGATCCTTTAAAGATAACCATGTGGAAGAAGCAGAGCCTGGCTGGGGACATGCGGTTGTTGGCAGGCCACATATCAAATATCTTGGAGGAACAGGGACAGGTAAGTATAAGGGGAATTTCTGGGAAAGAAGGGGGGTGTTTAAATATGTTTACTATTCATTTAAGTGAATGCATATAAGGGAAACACATAAAGACATTTTTTACCCCAAACATTGAATGCAGAACTTGTGTTTCTTGTTCTCCAGAAGGATGGAGTCATCTTTGTACAGACAGTATTCAGGGTCAGCACATTAACTTTCTGGACTGAGATGCTGGCTCGCGTGTGGCACAATAGTGTAAATGCTGATGCATGCACAGTTCTTGGCTGTATTTACAAATGTCTGACTAAAGATCTGCCCCAGCTGCAGTCTTTCACCTTGCAGTCTGATCACAAGGGGAGAGACTGGGGAAATGCTTCCTTCACTCTTCAGCAAACTGACCACCTCATCTGAGTTTAGGCAATGTCATATCACTGGAGTTTACAGACTGCATTTGCATGATAAAATGTGCAGCTTTGTTAAAAATAATACATTTGTTCCGGTATATAGTGTTATGTCCAGAATTTATTCACGCAGCCTTGAAACATTACTGAAGGGTTCACTTTAACTCAGCGTCTAGCCCCTAACTACCTCCTTGTTCAATGTGTTCCTCTTTACTCTGAGAGGAAACACGTTAATGCACAGAAATCTATACCTCTAAATTATTTGTTTGCAAGAAACTTTGTGACCAGCTAGGTCATAGTGGCAGAGGTGGAATATGAAATGCTATGATGGAAAAGAAGTTCTAGCTTCATAGTTACACAGTTAATCTGTCTGAAAAAAAACAAAATTCCATCCAGTTCAACCATTAAAAAAAAAAAGTTATAATCCTACACCCAGAGTTGATCCAGAGGAAGGCAACCCCCCCCCCCCCCCAGCAAAGCATGATCCAATAGGCTCCTGCAGGGGAAAAAAAATCCTTCCTAATCAACCGAGAGGCAATCGGAAATTCCCTGGACCAACTATACCTATAAATGTTAGTATCCAGTTATATACTGTGTATCCAAGAAAGAATCCAGGCCTTTTTTAAAGCAATCCACTGAGCTGTCTAGAACCAACTTATCAGGTACCTAGTGATGGAGGCCAATGGAGAGAGCACTTCCCTTGCGGCTAAGGTACAGACTCCCCTGAGAGTGGGACAGCGGGAGTCAGGCCCAAAATGGCACAGGTCGCCTGTAGGAGTGCTTGTTGGTGGTCCACCCAGGAGCACAGCTGATGCACAGAAATGAGGTCTGCAGACAGGTGGCACCTGTGCGAGGTATGCAAGCCCTTCCTGGAATAGAGGATTACTGGATAGCCGGTTCAAGCCAAGGTCAGATACCAGGTGGGAATCAGAGCAGATGTAGTCAGATAGGATAGCCGAGGTCATACACCGAGGAGCGAGAGAGTATCCGTTAGCCAAGGTCAGATCAGGGGTTAAGCAGAGTAGACAGGTCCAAAAGCAAGCCGAGTCGGTAAGAGGAAGTCACAGGTCACGATAACACAGGAAACAGGAACCAGGTACGGGGAACTAGAGATCATCCAGCAACTTGAGGGAGTGAAGAGCCTCCTTATAAAGGCCGTTTGGTGCCAAAACTGGGCTTGGTGCGTGTATTTCTACGGCCATGTAGGGTACTGGCGGAAATGCCCGGTCTTCCAGGACTTCTGCTGTGGATAGGACCCTGACACAACTCTTGAGGGAGTCTATTCCACATTTTCGCAGTTCTCACTTCTCACTGTGAAGAAATCTTTTCGTGTTCTTTTCCTCCAGACATAAAGAGTGCCTGCTTGACCTCTGTGATGACCTCAGGGTGAACAACTCTACACTGAGTTCACTATATGAACCACTGATGCATTTATACATGTTGATCATATCCCCCCTTAATCGCCTCTTCTCAAGAGAGAATAAATTCAGTTCCTCTAATCTTTCCTCCTAGCTGATCTCCTTCATGCCTCTTATCAGTTTGGTTGCTCTTCTCTGTACTTTCTCCAGTTCCCCAATGTTCTTTTCGTGAATTGGTGCCCAAAACTGAACTGCATATTCCAGATGAGGTATTACTAATGATTTGTACAGGGGTGAAATGATATATCTCTCTCTGCAGTCTATACTTCTTTTAATACAAGAGAGGATTTTAATCGCTTTAGAAACCCCAGCTTGGCATTGCATGCCATTATTAAGCTTGTGATGTACCAGAACGCCTAGATCCTTCTCCACCATTGATTCCCCAAGTTGTACCCTGACAATATATATGATGCATGCATATTCTTAGCCCCCAAGTGCATAACCTTACATTTATCAACATTAAACCTCATTTGCCACATAGTTGCCCAATTAAACAGTGCATTGAGGTCGGCTTGTAAGTTAGAGACATCCTGTAAGGACGTTATTCCACTGCACAGCTTGGTGTCATCTGCAAAGACTGAAATGGTATTTATAATCCCAGACCCTATATTGTTTATAAATATATTAAAAAGTAAGGGTCCCACCACTGAACCTTGGGGTACACCACTTACAACCCTAGACCATTCAGAGTATGAATCATTAACCACTACTCTCTGAATACAATCTTTTAGCCAGTTTTTAGCCAAAATCCAAGTATACTACGTCCACTGCCACCCCTCTGTGCAAGGTTTTGCTCACCTCCTCATAAAAAGAAATCAGATTTTTTTGACAACTTCTGTCTTTTATGAATCCATGCTGTCTGTTGCTTGAATTTTGTTTTTCCAGCAAGAACTCATCTATGTGGTCTTTTGTTAAACTCTCCAGTATCTTCCCAACTATGGAAGTTAACAGGTCTATAATTACTTGGTAAAGATTTTGACCCATTTTTAAATATTGGCACCATATTGGCCTTACGCCAATCGAGTGGTACTATGCCAGTCAGTAAAGAGTCCCTAAAAATTAGAAACAATGGCTTTGAAATGACAGAGCTCAATTTTTTAAGGACCCCTGGGTGTATGCCATCCAGTCCAGGTGCTTTATTCACCTTTATTCTGTCTAAATATTTTTGGATCATGTCAATTGTGAGCCAATGTGGATAATCTGGAGCTGTGTCAATACCATGCCCATTATGGACAAGAGCTCCACCGTGCTTCTTTGTATACACAGAACTGAAGAAGGTATTTAATACATTTGCCTTCTCTTTGTCCCCACTCACCCACTCTAGATTATTTTGTAAAGGGCATACATGCTCAAACTAGATCTTTTTACTATTTATATATTTAGCTTCATTAGAATAATCTCTGTAACACTCCTATAAATTATATAAGTTGAACTCCAGCCTTACTTTCAGTTTTACACAGTTGTACCGACTCCTTTATCCTGAAATTACTTACTCCAATTTCATTGCACATTGTGAGTCTCTCACAGAGAGCTAACATTAGAAGCTGCAGCTCATCTAATTTCTGGCTGGAAGGATGACCAGCATCATCTAGGCATTTGCAGCCTCCACGCCTGCATTTCAGGCCATGTCAGAATTACATTCCTATCTCTGCTCGAAGGCATCTCTGCTGCTGGTCCCCCACCCCCAACCAACCACCCCCCAAGTCATGATCTGCCTACATTGCAAGGAGAACACAAATATACAACATATCAAAATACTTACTGCGTAAAATTAATTTTCCAAATAAGCTTTGGTCTCGTTCATGTGTCTTGCAGTTCCATCGGTGATGTCGAAACTGATGCTGACATTCTGCTGTCCACTCACGCACTCCCAAACCAATCACATGCATAATTTCAGGGTAACGTTGACAAAGCTGCCTCTGGCGGGTCACCAAACCTGGAACATTATTGCACATAACACGGGAAGAGGTTGAAGAAGACCCAACAGCTCCCATGTACCTTGAGAAAACAAAAAAAATGTATAACTACTTTTCAGATTTACTTCCTAATGATTAAAGTGAATCAGATTATATGAACATTCAAAAATATATACAGTACATTTTCATCGTACAGTACAGGACATTAGACTTGTATTTATAGATCATGAGTTATATGCAGGCTATCTTCAGGTGATTGGACACTGGTAAAAAATTTGTTAGAGCTGCCCCAAGTACACACTTATATAATCGCACCCACACCGTCAGATTCAGGTTTTTTGCTAGTGTCCTTAGATGATGCATGTATTCTCCTCTGAAGAACCATATTTCTGTTTTTAGAAGACCTCACATGTAAGGTTGCAAGTGTTTTCTTGTAAAGAGCCTTTTCATGTTTTGCACAGAAATAAGGTGGTTTTGAGACCAAAACATTCCTTTTTACTTAAGGTGGTCTCTCCTTTCCATCTAAATGAAGACATTGTCCTCCCTTCCCATGACAAGGAAATTGCCTTAAACTACCTGGATGTGGTCAGGGCTGTCAGTCTACATGACAGCCATGGCCTCTGTTTGCAAATCTGAGACCCTCTTTGTTTTGCCTGGAGGTCAATATAGAGGACATCCTGCTTCCTGAGCCACCATTGCCAGGTGGATCAGACAACTTTTTTTTACCATGGTCTATGTACTTAAGGAAATAAATCCATCATTCACATTTAGAGCTCATTCCACCAGGGCCATTTATGTCACATGGGCTTCTCTCTATCAAGCATCTGTATCTCAGATTTGCAAGACCACCACCTGGTTCTGTTTATGCGTTCGCTATGTTCATCCAGGTGCTTCAGGCATTTACGTGAGTGTTCAAAAGTTCTTTAACCCTTGTTTTTTGTGGATCTGTTGCAGCCATCACATCTAAGGACTGGTTAGCTTAAAAAATAAAATATGATATATATATATATATATATATATATATATATATTTATTTTCCCTTCTCTGGGTTTACATAGGCTTCAAGTAGATGTAAATGTCAAGATGAAATTTAGGGTTGCATTTAGTGGTTGGTTAGCAGTCAGGATGAGACCATAGGTTACATCTAGGGTTAATGTAAAATTTTAGATTAGGAGTTTAGCTTGGGCACAATTAGACTGCTTGAACCTAATTAGACATATAAAAAGACAGGAACCCACACACGCACAGGTGTAAAGAACATCCATTGCTTTATGATAATGAATCTTTTCTCAGGCTTTGAAAAGCCAATATCTGTTCTGTAAAACAAAGCACACTCAACATTCAGAAAGTGTCCATTTATTTATTTATTATTTTTCAGGTACTTATATAGCACCATCAGTTTACGCAGCGCTTTACATATACAGTTGTGTTCAAAATAATAGCAGTGTGTTGAAAAAAGTGAATAAAGCTCAAAATCCTTCTAATAGCTTTTATTTCCATACACACAAATGCCTTGGGAACACTACACATTCTATTCCAAATCAAAACATGAAAAAAAATATATCAAATTTGTGTTGTTCCTCTAAACAAATTAAAGAAAAGTGAATATTAGACTTTTCAAAAAAAATAGCAGTGTTTGTATTCTTCTTTACAAATTCAAACATTCACTATATAAACTGAAAAATGTTTGAAGATTTTGCTTTCCTTTGAATCACTTAATTAATATTTAGTTGTATAAGCACTGTTTCTGAGAACTGCTGTACATCTGTGTTGCATGGATTCAACCAACTTCTGGCACCTGTGAACAGGTATTTCAGCCCAGGATGATTGGACTACATTCCACAGTTCTATATTTCTTGGTTTTGCCTCAGAAACTGCATTTTTGATGTCACCCCACAAGTTTTCTATTGGATTAAGATCTGGGGATTGGACTGGCCACTCCATAACGTCAATCTTGTTGGCCTGAAACCAAGATGTTGCACGTTTACTGGTGTGTTTGGGGTCGTTGTCTTGTTGGAACACCCATTTCAAGGGCATTTCCTCTTCAGCATAAGGCAGCATGACCTCTTCAAGTATTCTGATGTATTCAAACTGATCCATGATCCCTGGTATGCGATAAATAGGCCCAACACTAGTATGAGAAACTTCCCCATATCATGATGCTTGCACATCCATGCTTCACTGTCTTCACAGTGTACTGTGGCTTGAATTCAGTGTTTGGGGGTCGTCTGACAAACTGTCTCCAGCCACTAGACCTAAAAAGAACAATCTTACTTTCATCAGTCCACAAAATGTTGTGCTATTTCTCTTTAGGCCAGTCAATGTGCTCTTTGGCAAATTGTAACCTCTTCAGCACGTCTTTTTTTCAACAGTGGGACTTTGCGAGGGCTTCTCGCAGATAGCTTGGCTTCACATAGGCGTCTTCTAATTGTAACAGTACTCACAGGTAACTTTAGACCGTCTTTGATCTTCCTGGAGCCGATTGTTGGCTGAGTCCATGCCATTTTGGCTCTTCTTCTATCCATTCGAATGGTAGTTTTTTTTCGCTTTCTTCCACGTCTTTCAGGTTTTGGTTGCCATTTTAAAGCATTTGCGATCATTTTAGCTGAGCAGCCTATCATTTTCTGCTCTTCTTTATATGTTTTGCCCTCTCCAAATAACAAACATTTTAATCAAGGTATGCTGTTCTTCTGAACAATGTCTGGAACGACCCATTTTCCTCAGAATTTCAGAGAGACATGCACTGTAATCAGCATGTACAACATTTGCTGCGCCTTCCTTCCTTAAATAAGGGCAATAATTGCCATCTGTTTTTCAAAGAATGAATGACCTCACTAAAAGAACTCCACACTGCTATTATTTTGAACATGCCCCTTTCAATTAGTGATTCAATTACACAGAATCAGCAGGATGCATGTCATGACTGTTGGGTCTGTTGGATTTCTATTACTCTACTACAGTAAATTATAGTAAAGTATTTGCCATGTAGAAATATAATTTCTACCAAAAACAGTGATTGATCAGGTTAGTGATGTCTGACTGCTATTATTTTGAACATAACTGTATATATATATATATATATATATATATATATATATATTGTACATTCATATCGGTCCCTAACCCTCAAGGGGCGTACAATCTAAGGTCCCTAACTCACATTCATACATACATGTACTAGGGCCAATTTAGACAGGAGCCAATTCACCTACCAGCATGTCTTTGGAGTGTGGGAGGAAACCAGAGTACCGGGAGGAAACCAGAGTACCAGGAGGAAACCCACACAGGCACAGGGAGAACATGCAAACTCCAGGCAGGTGGTGCCGTGCTTGGGATTCGAACCAACGACCCTAGTACTGCCAAGCGGAGGTGCTAACCATTTAACCACTGTGCTGCCCTGTCCATGTTGCTTTGCGTTGATTTTGATGTTGCCTGCGACATATGGCAGGCCTTGGCAACTTTCAAAGCTTGCCAAGCATTTCAGATCAATGACTGTGCACCCGAAATACATTTTTCTTTTAATGAATTTCCTTTCAAAAAATGTTTAATATGGTGTTCTATTTTAGACAGCACTTTACAATTGAATCATAAATATGTTAATATCAAGTTGCAAAGCACATTTGATCCACAAGTTTTTAACGAACTTACTTTGAATAAACGACTCAGAATTGGCATGCAGCCATTGAACTCAAAACTGTTTGTCATGGGAGACTGACACAGAGTACTGAAGCCAGAGGATCAGAAAGACTGCTTTATTATTGTTTTTCAGGAGGAGATCAACTAAGAAAGCCTATGTATTTATGTTACACCGCATTTCCTTTCAGCATAGCATCAAAGTTTGGATGGGATGATACATGTCTTCATTCAACCAGCAATGTATTGTGGCTCAGATCACACAAGTCATGGATAGGTCCTTCCATCAAATTTCATAGTTGTAATATAGTAGAAATGTTCCTGAAGGTTCTAAATTATTATTATTATTATACAGTATTTATAAAGCGCCAATAGTTTGCTCAGCGCTGTACATTACAATGGGGGACAGAACAATAACAATACAATACAATGCAAAACATGAGGGGATCGAGGGCCCTGCTCTTTCGAGCTTACAATCTAGGAGGGAGGGGATGGTGGCACAGGAGGAGAAAGCTGTGGGGGATGGAGTGGTAGGAAGAGTGGAGGAGGTCAGCAAGTTAGCAGGGGGTGGGGTAGGCTTCCCTGAAGAGGTGGGTTTTCAGGGTGCGCCTAAAGGAGAGGAGAGTAGGTGATAATCTGATGGGTTGGGGCAGGGAGTTCCAGAGGATGGGTGACACCCTGGAGAAGTCCTGGAGGCGGGCATGGGAGGAGGAGACCAGGGAACTAGAGAGAAGGAGGTCTTGTGAGGAGCGGAGTGTGCGTGTTGGGTGGTACTTGGATATTAGGTCGGTGATGTAGTTCGGGGCAGTATGGTGGACAGCTTTGTACGTCAGTGTTAGGATTTTGAATTTGATCCGTTGCGCAATCGGAAGCCAGTGGAGGAATTGGCAGAGGGGGGTGGCATAAACAGAGCAGTTGGAACGGTGAATGAGTCTGGCAGCCATATTCAGGATCGACTAAAGAGGGAATAGCCAGCGGCGAGGCAGGCCAGTAAGGAGGGAGTTGCAGTAATCGAGTCGTGATATGATGAGGGAGTGGATGAGCTGTTTATGGTTTCTGGGGTTAGGAATGTGCATATTTTGGCAATGTTGCGGAGGTGGAGTCTGCATGAGTTTGTTAAAGATTGGACTTGGGCGTGGAAGGATAGGTTGGAGTCCAGAATGACACCAAGTACTCTGGCCTGCGGGGCGGGTTTAATGGTGGCGTTGTTCGACATGATGGAGAAGTCAATGGGGGGTGGCGTGCGGGCTTAGGGGGAAGACAAGAAACTTGGTTTTGGAGAGGTTCAGTTTAGGAAGTGGAGCGACATCCAGTCTGATATGTCGCTCAGTAGGTGTGTGATTCAGGCGGAGACTGAGGGGGTGAGGTGGGGGGTTGAGAGATAGATTTGTGTGTCGTCAGCATAT